CTCGCGTTCCATCATCACTGGTACTGGCTTTAGTTGGATGAGTCCAACCTGTCACCACGGACTGCCATACTGCATCACCTTGAGCTTTTAGATGTGCACGTGTGCGAGCTTTCTAATAAGCGTAGTTGTCGCCGACTAGCTGGGGAAGAACCTTAACACGATCCATTCTGTAACACTCAAAAACCCGTGAGATTGAACAAATTAACAGAATAAAGAAAATCAATAAAAGCCGTTGAATGCTTGAGTTCAAGAGGCACGGAGTAGTCAGATCGACAGACTAACAAATTAAGTCTGGAGGCTCTTATACCAATTGAAATTGCACCGTGAATCTTGAATGCAAGATGTAACTTATATTTCTACTTGATTTTATGTTATGCAACAATCACGTTCATTAATTATATTTGTTAATCAAATGTAAATAACGAAAATTGAAAGAATAAAATAAAACAATAACACAAGAGAATTGTTACGCAGTTCAGAGCGCTTCTCCTACGTCTGCCCAATCCACTATAGATGTTCACCAAGGAGTATTACAAGAGGTAAGTACAAATGGCTCTCAGTCTTTACCACTTCAACCATTCCTAACACTTATTCAGGATTGAACCGTACATGCCATAACAATCTTCAAGCGAAACTTCAGCTGTAGCAGGTACTGTCTGTGCAGTCCATAATTAAACTACAATAACATAATCAAAGTGATAATATATGAGCTTGTAAAATATTCTTTCACTTAGAATAGCAATTCTCAATTCGTAACTTTCCAAAATGGGATGACTTCCTTTTACAGTAAAACCCATCCACCAGCTTGATCCATAATTATAGCATCATATAATCTTCAAAGCACCATAACCACACGTTTTTGTTTAAATTCCCCACACTGTGAGATCAGCTGACTTCCTCTTCTTAGAAAAACAATAATTGAAAGTCACTCAAAATAAACTTATGTGATAGGAAATGGTCCAAAAAGTTTTAGACTAACTTAAATAAATCTAATTAAATTAAAATAAAATAAATTAGCCAACAAAGGTTTTAATATGCACAAACTTTGTACATTTACAATATTTTCAAAGTCGGAGGACGTAATTGGGCACAAAAAATTGTCAAGGACCAAATTGATAATTTTGTAATAGTCGATGGACTATTTCGGTAATAAACTCTTCTGAATTTATAGTTCATTAATTCTGAATATATAGTTCATTCATTCTAAATACACAAACGCAGCAAACTGCCATAAGCCAAAATAGTGTACCAGTAACCGGTGTGGATATATAGTTCATTAATTCTGAATATATAGTTCATTAATTCTGAATATTTTTCGTTAAAAATAATGCCGTTTGGGATCATGTTCACCAAACATGGTGAACACGTTTCCACAGCATAATTTGCGAGGATTATATGGGTGGTACTAGAGTGTGAAGGAATTGAGTTTCTTGGGTCTCTTTCTCCTCTTGAATTGATCGAACGAATTTTTGTTTTGATGAAGTCATAAAGAGTTGAAGATCGACTTAATTACTAGATTAATATTTGAATGTGTACTTAAATATTAAAATTGCACTCCATATTAAATTATTAGTTTTACTATGAGATTTAAATTGGGACAATGATTGTTCGTCCTAAAAAATCCCCCCGCGAGTAAAAATTTGTATGATCATTGTCCGTGAGACAGATCAAGTCAAGATGAAAATGTAATACTTATATTGAAAAATATAATACTAATCAAGAATAAAATATTTATTATTTATATGAAAAAGTGTAATATTTTTGAAGAAAAATATAATACTTTTACATTTTGATTTAAAAGTATTACGTTTTTCCTCATAAGTATTACATTTTCTATTGTAAGTAACAAACAATTGTCAACATTACTTATAAGGGAAATTGTAATGCTTTTAACGAAAAAATTAATACATTTACATTAAAATGTAAAACTATTACTTTTTTCTATAAAAATATTACATTTTACCTTATAAATAACAAACACTTTGTTCTTGATTAGTATCACATTTTTCAATATAAATATTACATTTTTATATTGACCCGACCCAATTCTCTTATACAAGTGTGACCCTTTTATTTTGAAACTCACCTCACGAAATTTTTTATTTTGGAGAACGCAACTTATTCCCTTTCTTAGAGGACAACACTTGATCGGATTTGTAGACGGGAGCACTCCATGTCCGGCAGCCACGCTGACTGCCGCCTCTGGCGCCACCACCGCGGAGCCTTCTCCCAATCCGGCGTACAAGACATGGGTTCTCCAGGATCAATCGATCCTATCCCTGTTGATTTCCTCAATGTCCGACGAGGTCCTCCATCTTGCGGTTGGCCGGAATACCGTCGCCGAAGTCTGGAGGTCCATCTGCACTTCCCTTGGCTCTAATACGCAGGCGCGGTGTTTGAATATGCTAGGCCAGTTTCAAGCTCTCCGGCAAGGCAACGCGACTCCGACAGACTATCTTGGAAGGGTAGAGCTTTTGGTTGAAGCCCTTGCACAGGCCGGACAGCCGCTATCCATGGCGGAGCAGAACCTCTATGTTCTGAGGGGACTTCGTCCGGAGTACAAGTCATACGCAGCCTCCCTCACGGCCCATGCGCCGGTCTCGCTTCCCTAGTTGGCGGATCACCTGCAGGCTGCCGACTTCATTCTTGCAGATGATTTCATCGCAGATGGTGGCAGTAGCAGCTCTCATACGGCGTTATATACAGGTCATGGCAGTGGTGGACGTCACTCCGGCAATCACAGTGGCGGTGATGGAGGCTGGCAGTCGCAATGGCGTGGTGGACGTGGTGGCAGAAATCATCGCGGTGGCCGCAATCATCATGGTGCACCGCGTTGTCAGATTTTCATATCGCAGGGGCATACCGCAGTCTACTGTTATAAACGCTACACGACGCAACCACCCGCGCAAGCTCATGTTGCCGTCTCCGGTGAATCCCCGGCGACACCTGTACCACCGGCCGACATGTGGTACACTGACACGGGCGCCACGGCCCATGCCACTCCCGACGCCGGCATGATGACGTCCTCGGAGGACTATAATGGCCCGGATACGCTCCGGGTGGGCAATGGTACAGATTTAGTTATCTCACGGGTTGGCCATGCATCGATCCCGTCTATGTCAAAACAGTTGTTCCTATCTAATGTGTTATATGTCCCAAAATTAACCATCCCCTTATTATCTGTCCAAAAATTCGCTAAAGAAAATAGTGTATTTTTTGAATTTCATGACAGTTGTTTCATTGTGAAGGATTCCAAAACTAAGGCGGTGCTTCTTAAAGGCCCGACTTCTGGAGGTCTATACAAGCTACCTGTATCCCGGAGTCATTTTGCGTTCGTTAGTTCCCGTGCAACGCCGATAGTTTGGCACCGCAGGCTCGGTCAACCACACAGTCTTGTCCAGAATAAAATCCTTCGGCACTGCTCAGTCAATCAAAATAACACTAGTTTCGGGTCATGTACGGCTTGCCACCTGGGCAAGTCATCTCGCTTAAATTAGATAGGATAAACAATTCTAGCAACAATGTACTAGACTTATTGTATACGGATATCTGGGGGCCTGCACCAGTTATCTCGTCTAGTGGGTTTCGTTACTTCCTTTTATTTGTTGATGACTATTCCCGATATTGCTGGTTTTATCCATTAAGGGTAAAATCAGAAATCTATAAAATATTTGATGTGTTTCGTGTGTTAGTAGAGCGGCAATTTTCGCGCTCTATCAAGTCTATACAGTCGGATTTAGGGGGTGAGTACCGCAAACTTCATGTCACTTTTCAATCCCTTGGAATTAATCACCGCCAATCCTATGCTTACACACATGAGCAAAACGGAAGAGTTGAGCGCCGTAACAGACATACTGTCGAAACGAGCCTAGCTCTTCTCACCCAAGGGGTTGTCCCAAAACAATACTGGGATCATGCTTTCGAGACTGCTACATGTCTAATCAACTATCTCCCGTCCTCAGCACTAAATTTCGAAAGTCCATACTTCCGTCTTCATAAAAAGTTACCACCTTACCAATTTTTACGAGTCTTCGGGTGCTTATGTTACCCCTATCTAAGACCCTACAACCGGCATAAGATAGAGTTTCGTTCCACTCCTTGCGTCTTTCTGGGATACCCTCTGTCCTTTCGAGGGTACAGGTGCATGGATCTAACTAGTGGGAAGACTTATATCTGTCGCCATGTGCGGTTTGACGAGTCGATTTTTCCCTTTGCCACAGGTACATCACCGCGATTTGTTGAGCCACAGCCTGTGCCATGGGCAGCTGGACCCATAGTGTCAGTTCATGTTACATCTACGGTGCATCTTACCTCTCCATTACCACACGACTTTGACCCTCAGCCAATAGCTCAAGAGGACCCACAATTGGCCATTGAGCCCGTTGTCCCATCATCTCGAGGGCGGGGTCGGGGTCAGGGTCGGGCACAACCACAGGAGCGAGGCCATTTCATGCGCCTCCGCTGTATGACTCAAGGCACTAACTACAATAGCCGCTGATCCAACGTGTTATTCCCAGGATGTTGGCCACCCACAATGGTGGGATGCTGTGGACCAAGAGTTCAATGCTCTACTTCATAACGACACCTGGCGCCTGGTCCCACCTGACCCGACCATGAATATCATGGGGTGTAAGTGGGTGTTTCGCACCAAGCGCACTGCAGACGGCTCGGTAGAACGGCACAAAGTGCGCCTTGTGGCTAAGGGCTTTAACCAGGTAGCCGGAGAAGACTTCTTCGACACCTTCAGCCCAGTGGTAAACCCAACCACGGTTCGCCTACTGTTTTCGTTGGCTATCACCAACAAGTGGACTCTACAAAAACTAGATGTCCATAACGCCTTTCTAAATGGGCGCTTAGCAGAAACTGTCTATATGAAGCAACGACCTGGATATGAAGATCCGACTCATCCTAATCATGTCTGTCACTTGCAAAGATCTCTATATGGTCTTAAACAGGCCCCGCGGGCATGGTTTAAATGACTTCACGACTTCCTTCTTACCATGGGGTTTAGCGCGTCAAAAACAGATGTCTCTCTCTTTTACTACAGTGCAGATGGGTGTCAGGTATTTCTTCTTGTCTACGTTGATGACATCATTATGATGGGCAGTAATGCCACCCTAATCAGCACTTTGTTGGGGCGTCTTGCTACTGCTTTCAAGATCCGGGATCTCGGAAAGCCGAGGTTTTTCTTAGGCATTGAGACAGTAGACACTAAAGACGGTATGATCTTATCCCAGCGTCGCTACATGACTGATTTATTGAACTGTGCTGGCATGGTTGACTGCAAGCAACTAGCCATGCCTGCATCGACCACACAGGCAGTTACTTCGTCTGATGAGCCGTTTGATAATCCTACTCAGTACCGTCGGATTGTTGGAGCTTTACAGTATCTTACTATTTTCCGTCCTGATTTATCATATGCCGTAAATCGTTTATGTCAGTTTATGCATTCTCCGTCCGTTGATCACTAGGCTGGTCAAGCGGGTCTTACGGTATATTAAAGGCACCCTGGATTATGGGCTACGTCTTAGCTCTTTTCCTACTGCTTTCATTCACGCGTATTCTGACTCCGACTGGACTAGTTGTCCGATTGACAGGAAGAACACCAGTGGGTATGCAGTTTTTCTCGGGACCAATCTCATCTCATGGCTATCACGGAAACAGCGGACTGTGGCACGCTCCTCGACATAAGCAGAATATAAAGCCTTGACTGATGTTGCAGCTGAGGTTACTTGGGTTGTCTCTCTGCTCCGTGAGCTGGGGCTACATATTGGACAACCTTCTACTTTATGGTGTGATAATTTAGGGGCAACATACCTATGTGCCAATCCAGTTTTTCATGCCAGGACGAAGCATGTTGAGATCGACTACCACTTCTTTCGTGACAAGGTCGCAAGCGGGGAATTTGTGGTTAATTTTGTTTCGACTAAAGATCAGCTAGCGGATGTCTTCACCAAGCCTCTTTCGGGACCCAGGTTTATGGCTCTTCGAGACAAGCTCAACGTTGTTGATGGATATATTATACCCACGACCCGACCCGGGGTAGCAACGCGGACCCGGAGCACCACGGTGGAGCCCAGGAGCAACGCGGACCCGGGACACCACATTGGAGCCCAGGAGCAACGCGGACCCGGGGCACCACATTGGAGCCCAGGAGCAACGCGGACCCGGGGCACCACATTGGAGCCCAAGAGCAACACGGACCCGGAGCACCATAGAGGTGCCCCGACCCGACCCGACCCGAGCCACGTGGGGCTCGGGTCGGATGGAACGACCCTACCCGAGCTCGGCTCATGGCGGGCTCGGGTAGGATAGCTCGGCATCACTCGAGCTCGGCACCACCCCGAGCTCGGGACCTGACCTAACCGGTCTACCCGAGCCCGGTCAAAGTAGTGATCTAACCACCCCCCGATTTAGGGGGAGGCGGTTGGGGGGTTTAGCTTGTATAAAAACCCCCCTCCTTGTCCTAACAAAGGGCATTCTATCTACATTCTACATTTATTCTACACACTTTGTCCCGAAATACTATTGTAATAGCCAATTTTACGGTAATTAATATAATATACGGTCTCACGGTCTTACGACATCGTTTCGTTTATTTATATATTATTTATATTACATTCTTATCCGGATTTATTGATTCGGGTCCACCCCGGGTTAATTAAATCCATCATTGGTGCTCTTGTTGAGAGTTGTTGTACCAGCTCAAGTGTGTTCTATATCCAGTGGTCTACCGCGACCAGCTACTATGGCAAGATCGAGATCCAACTCGCGCCACACCAACGGTTCCCGCGGCACCCAGCTCGTCACAGCCGGGAATGGCCCCAACGGGGTCCCCAGCCTTCAACCGGCCACCTCTGTCAGGTAGGTGGGAGACATGAGGGACCGCCTCACCAACCACCGTAGCGACGGTGCACCACCTCCCGCTGCCCCCGTGCCGCCCCTAGCCCTTGTCCACGAAGGGGTGGAGGTCTTTGAGCAGGCCTCCACGGGGCTAGCCCGGGTCGCGCAGAGTCTCCGAGCAAGTGTACCTGCCGACCCAGGCGTTGACCAAGGGCTGTCGGCACCTCCTCCCACCCGGGGGCGCAGCGGTACAAGCACCCGGCCACCCCAGGCACCCATCACCCAAGGGGAGGTCAATTCGCCCCGCCGGACGGACACACGGGGAGGAGGGGACTCACGATGTGACCGACGTCAGGAGGACGACGGAAGGATGTCAAACCAAACCAGGCCCGCCATGGAGAGGCTGGGCAGCTAGGTGCCAGCCCGAGAGAGGTTGGGCCCAAGGCCTGTCCGCCAACGAGCCTCCACCAGCAGAATCATGCTCCCGCAGGCAAGCATGACGACAATCAGTCAGCCGGAGGTCGCCAAGCCACGGACCCCAAGCCCAGCAGCGACAAGAGGCGGGCTCGCGGAGGTCACCAGGACGGGGGACCCGAGCCCCACCTTGGCGTGAACAGGCCTCCCGGGTCGAACGATCAGGTGAAACGAATGGTAGAGCTCCGAGCTCCCATCAGGAAGAGGTCGAGCAGCTACGGAGGAGGATGGACGAGCTCCAGAAAAAGATCGACGAGAGGGATGGATCTCCAGAGCCCCAGGATGTGTTGTCCTCCCTGTTCGCAAACGCCATCATGGAGGAACCCTTACCTCGAGATTTTCGCTTTCCCACCATTAAGGCGTACTCAGGGACCACGGACCCGCGGTCACACCTCACCAGGTACAGGGCCGCCATGATGCTCACCGGGGCTACCGACGCCATCCTGTGCAGGGGGTTCTTGGCCACCCTAGATGGGCAGGCGCATGACTGGTTCGGATCCCTTCCGGAGGGGTCCATCTCCACCTTTGCGGACCTCACCCGACAATTCCTGTCCCATTTCGCCACCAGCATGCAGTGAAAGAAGCAAATCGTCGATCTGTGCGACATAAAGTAGGGGAGCTCGGAGTCATTAGCCGAGTACCTCACAGCAAGTGGAAGAAAGAGGCCATGGGGGTCGCTAACTTCGATGGGAAGTCGGCCATGCCGATTTTTCGAAACAACTTGAGGTCGGGCGCTTTCCACCAGGACCTCATCAGGTACCCCCCAGGACCTATACCGACCTGATGGACAGGGCGGCCAGGTACGCTGACGCTGAGGTTGCCGAGAAGAGGAAGAAGTAGCAGGAGTAAGGGAGAGGTCGAAAAGACAAGGCACCCCAGGAGGAGCGCAAGGCGCCACGGCCACATCGACGTGAGTACGCTGAGGGGCCTAGGCTGAACCCCAAACGCTATCTCACCCCGCTGACACAACCTGTGGGTACCATCTTGGCACACGCGGAGGACCAGAGAATCGTGGTATTCCCGAAGGAGGAGTGCATGAAGATATCGACGAGGGGGGACACCAATAAGTATTTCAGGTTCCACCCGCAGAAGGGACACGATACAGACGAATGCATCCTCCTAAAGAGATAAATCGAGGAGCTCATCCAAATGGGTTACCTCGGCCAATTCATCAAGAAGCCCGGCCAAGCGCAAGGCCAGAAGCAAGGCAATGTACTGAGGAAGGGAGGTGGCCAGGCGCCATCCACCTCAGCACCTCGTAAGAGAGACCACGACCACAGTTCCGAGGAGGAGGAGAAGACGACGGAGGATTGCCAGCCCCCGAAGAAACAAACCATCTACGTCATCTTTGGGGGGCCCGAGAGAGGGAACTCGCCAGCTGAGCGGAAGAAATGGGCGAGGAGCTTGTACGTGGGGGAGGTCACACGAACCCCCCACGAGAAGAAATCGAAGAGGGAGCCCATCACGTTCACCGACGCCGACCTGCCAGATGGGCCCCTCCCCCACCGAGACGCCCTGGTGGTCAAGATGGACATCAAGAACGTAGTGGTTCACCGGGTGCTCGTAGACACGGGTAGCTCGGTGAACGTCATGTACTACGACACGTTCACCCAGTTGGGACTCTCAAGAAGGCAGCTGGAGCAAGTATAGACCCCATTGTCCGGGTTCACGGGGGACTCAATTGAGACGGAGTGGTCGATCAATTTGGAGGTGGAGATAGGCACCCCACCTCACACCAGGAGGTCGGAGGTCGAGTTCGTAGTCGTCAAAATCAGCTGCGCCCACAACATTATACTCGGCCGACCCGCCTTAGAAGACCTCAGGTGCGTGATTTCCATGGAGTACCTGTGCCTCAAGTTCCCGACACCAGCCGGGGTCGGGGTCGCCCGGGGGGACCAAAAGGTGAACCGCAGCTGCTACTTAAAGGCGTGCCACCAAATTGGTCAGAAGGACCTCCAGGTCCACACCATCTCCGAGAAGGCATTTCGGGAGGAAGCAGGTCGGCCTCGGGCCGAGCTCGTGATCGAGACAGGGGAGGTCATCCTCGACCTCAGCCGACCCGACCGGGTTGTGAAGGTGGGGGTCGGCCTCCCGGCCGAGCTCCGAGCACGGATAATTAACACCAATAGGAGCTACAAGGAGGTATTCGCATGGAGCCCCGAGGATATGCCGGGCCTCAGCCGAGACATGATCACGCACAAGTTGGTTGTCGACCCCGCGGTCAAGCCAGTCCATCAGCGCAAAAGGTACCTCTCTACCGAGAGGAGGGAGTTCGTAAAAAAGGAGGTCGACACCCTGCTGGAGATCGGTCATGTCAGGGAGGTCATATACCCCACCTGGCTGGCCAACGTGGTCATCGCCCCAATGCCACCCACATGGAGGATGTGCGTGGACTACACCGACCTCAACAAGGCCTGCCCCATTGACCCCTTTCCTCTCCCCAACATTGACCAGCTGGTGGATGAGACTGCAGGTTGTGCCCTCATGAGCTTCCTAGATGCATTCATGGGGGTACCACCAGATTTTCATGGAGGAGGCCGACGAGGAAAAGACAGCCTTCACCACATCGGAGGGGGTCTATTGCTACAAGTTCATGGCTTTCGGACTAAAAAATTCAAGTGCCACCTACACCCAAATGGTGGCCAAGGTGTTCAAGCAAGTCCTCGGCCGCAACCTGCAGGCCTACGTCGACGACATGATCGTTAAGAGCACCGACGCCGACCTCCACACGGACGACCTTACCGAGGTATTTTCAATTATGCAGCGTTTCAATTTACGGTTGAACCCCAAAAAGTGCACCTTCAGGGTGCATGGGGGGAAATTTTTGGGGTACATGGTTTCGAAGAGGGGCATTGAGCCTAACCCCGACAAGGTCAAGGCCATCCTGGATATGGAACCACTGAGGTCCCTCCGGGAGGTCCAGTGCCTCAACGGACGGTTGGCAGCCTTGGGCCATGTGCTACCCTCAGGCAAATGAGCAGGTGGAGAATGCCAACCGCACCACAGTGGGTGGCCTGAAAACGAAACTGGAATCCGCGGGGGAGGGGGGCGTGGGTGGAAGAGTTCGACGCCATTCTTTGGGCCTACCGCACCACCCCCTGGAGGGCCACTGGGGAGGCACCTTTTTCCTTGGCCTACGATTTCGAGGCCCGAGCTCCAGCAGAGGTGGTCATACCTTCCCGGCTGGAGGAGAACTACGACCCCGACACGAACGAGGAGCACCATAGAATTGACCTCCACCTGATTGATGACAGGCGCGAAGCAGCTGCGATCCGAGCTGAAAACTACCAGAGGCAAACCAAGGCATACCATGATAGGCGGGTTCGACCCCGCTATTTCCAAGTGGGTGACTATGTCCTCAGGAGGAGGGAGGC